AGGTTCAGGGCAGAGAAGCGCCCCAGTCCTGCAGTTAGGTGAACTTTGGAGAAAACCGTGATCTACAGTGGAGAAGAATGTTGCCTTAGGTTTCCTGGGAGCTGCTTTGGGGTAGGGAAGTGTCTCGGTTCACTAGGGCTGCCATAACGAAATACCACAGACTGGGTGGCCTAAACCGGCAGTCTCCAACCTTTTCGGCACCAGAGACTGGTTTTGTGGAAGACAATTTTTCCACAGACAGGGGGTGGGGCTGATGGTTTGGGGATAAAACTCTTCCTCCTCAGATCATCAGGCATTAGATTCTCATAACAGGCTCGCAACCTAGGTCCCTTGCATATGCAGTTCCCAATTGGGTTCACGCTCCTACGAGAATCTAATGCTGCTTCTGATCTGACAGGAGGCGGGGCTCAGGCGGGAATGTTCACTCCCCTGATGCTCACCTCCTCCTGTGTGGCACAGTTCCTAACAGGTTGGGAATCAGGACTTGGGGCTTCCACAACAAAAATTTATTTTCTCACAGTTCTGGAAGTTAGAGTCCAAGATCAAGGTGCTGAAAGACTTGGTTTCTCCTGAGGCCTCTGTCCTTGGCTTGCAGAGGACAACCTGCTCACTGTGGCCTCATATGGCCTTTCCTCTGTGCATGTAAATTCCTGGTGTCTCCTCTCCCTCCTCCTCCTCCTCCTCCTTCTTTTCTTGAGACAAGGTCTTACTCCATCACCCAGGCTAGAGTGTAGTGGTGTGATGTCAGCTCACTGCAGCCTCTGCCCCCTGGGCTCAAGTGATCCTTCCACCTCAGCCTCCTGAGTAACTGGAACTATAGGCACACGACACCACACCTGGCTATTTTTTTCATATTTTTTATAGAGACAGGGTTTTGCCATGTTGCCCAGGCTGGTCTTGAACCCCTGGGCTCAAGTGATCCATCTGCTTCGGCCTCCCAAAGTGCCGGGATTGCAGGCATCAGCCACCACACCCAGCCTTTTTCTCTTCTTATACAGACGCCACTCATGTCATTAGGGCCTCACTCTGAAGACCAGATTTAACCCTAATTACTTACCAAAAGTCCTATCTCCAAATGTAGTCAAATTGTGGAGTTAGGAATTAGACATAGCAATTTTAGGGGGACATAGCTCAGTCCGCAACAGGAGGAGAAAGAGAGGGGGCACTTTTCTTTATCTGCATGGAGAGACATTTACCAAATCTGTCTGTCTGGCCTCCACCCATGACTTTTGGATAAGGAAGGGCACTGTATTTAGTGGCCTGTGATTTTATATAGTACTTCTTCTCAAGACACAGCAGCTTTGAGAAGAGGTACTATACATCCCGTTTACAGATGAGGAAAGTGAGGTGTATTCATCCATTTTCACACTGCTATGAAGAAATACCTGAGACTGGGTAATTTATAAAGAAAAAGAGGCTTAATGGACTCACAGTTCCACATGGCTGGGGAGGCCTCACAATCATGGTGGAAGGTGAAGGAGGAGCAAAGTCACATCTTACATGGTGGCAGGCAAGAGTGTGTGTGCAGGGGAACTGCCCTTTATAAAATCATCAGATGTCATGAGACTTATTTACTATCATGAGAACAGCACGGGAGAAACCCACCCCATGATTCAATTATCTTCCACCCGGTCCCTCCCACGACACATGGGGATTATGGGAGCTACAATTCAAGATGAGATTTGGATGGGGACACAGCCAAACTGTATCAGAGGGCTTAAGTGACTTACCCTGGGTCACACAGCTAACAAACAGTAGAGATAGAATTTACACACAGACACACTGCCCTGCCTGCTCTCCAAGGCTAGATCCACTGATTTTGTTTTGTCTGGTAGCACTTGGACTTGACACTGTAGGAAGGTTTTGATAGAAGAAAAATGTCTGTAGAAGAGGAGGGAGAAGGAAGAAAAAGGCTCCGTGATCTGGAACTTCTCAAATAAAAAAGACGGTGGAACAATTGACCACAAAGCACTAGAACGATGTGGCTGCTTAGGAAAAAAAGAAGAAAGTGGAAAAGTAGGCTGGGCATGGTGGCTCAAGCCTGTAATCTCAGCACTTTAGGAGGGGGCAAATCACGAGGTCAGGAGTTCGAGGCCAGCCTGACCAATGTGGTAAAACCGTCTCTACTAAAAATACAAAAATTAGTCAGGCATGGTGGTACTTGCCTGTAATCCCAGCTACTCTGGAGGCTGAGGCAGGAGAATCGCTTGAACCTGGTGGGCGGAGGTTGCAGTGAGCCGAGATCATGCCATAGCACTCCAGCCTGGGTGACACAGCGAGACTCTGTCTCAAAAAGAAGAAAAAAAAAAGAGTGAAAAAGTGAGGCCGCATTATTCAAAGTCTAGTGCCCTGGCCAGGCGCTGTGGCTCAAGCCTGTAATCCCAGCACTTTGGGAGGCCGAGGCGGGTGGACCTCTTGACGTCAGGAGTTCAAGACCAGCCTGGCCAACGTGGTGAAATCCTTTCTCTACTTAAAAAAAAGATTAGCCTGGTTCAGTGGTGGGTACCTGTAATCCCAGCTACTAGGGAGGCTGAGACAGGAGAATCACTTGAACCCAGGAGTCAGAGGTTGCAGTGAGCTGAGATTGTGCCATTGCACTCCAGCCTGGGTGACAGAGTGAGACCTTGTCTCAGAAACAAAACAAAAAAACAACTTTCAAAACAAAGTCTATTGCCTCAGTAATTATAGCTCATATTTATTGAGTACCTACAATGTTCTAGCCACTCTTGTCAGGGCTTTACATATATTAACTCACCTAATTCTCATAACCCTACATGGTAGGCACTATTATACCTATTTTGTAAATGAGAGGAAATTGAGGCCCAGAGACATATAACTTTCCCAAAGCACACCAACTCTAAATGGCAGTGCTAGGCTATTCAGACTTTACAGCACAGTGCCTCAAACTTTGCATTGCTCAAGGTGGCTTAATACAACCTGACACACTTCTGGGTTTTATCAGAGGGACTTCAAGAAATGTGAGCACTTCTACAGGAAGGTGGACTCAAGATAGTGATGAGACGAGTAATATTTCTTGCATACTGTCTATATGCAAAGCACTGTTCCACATGTTTTATACATAGTAACTGTTTTAATCTTCACAACTATAGGCGATAGGTGCCATTATTATGCCCATTGTACAGATGAAGAGAGTGAGGCAAGTCACAGATGGAAAAAAGCCCAGTGAAATTCTTGAGTTTCTCCAGTAGAACAGCAGAGTTGAAGGAACAACTTCCCTCCCTCTTGACCTCTGAAGGGCTGCCCTAGGGGAAGAGAGAGGGACGTGACGTCAGAAGTACCCATTGCTGGGGATACTTCTTGCTGGGGATTAGGGTCAGGATGCCTGCTCTGGGTCAGCGTTAGACTCAGTGACCTATAAGGACCTTCTAGCTGTGAGACTCTGCCCATTGCTCAGGACAGAGGAGGAACCAGGGAAAAAAGTGAGACTAGGAAGAATCCTGATGCCAACTGCTTCCTGTTTCCAGAGAGCAAACTCCTGACTCCTAAAAAAGGAAGAAACAGACCATTTACTTTCTTTCATCTGCCTAGAAAATGGGATCTTTTTTT